AGAGGAGAAAAAGGAAAAAGAGAAAAAAAAAGAAAAAAAAGGGGCGGACAGCCCAGGTTTTGACGGGAAGTGAGCTGATGCTGAGGTCGATTAGAGGATCCCGCTCCCATGGTTCTCAATGACAACAATCCTAGAAAAATAGTACTGCACGGTGTTGGAAGCAGCTCTAGCTCCATCGTTGTTCTCTGTCTTCTTCCAGCTTAGTAGTTCCATGCACTCCTATTCAATATGGCTACGAGCTAAGGGTATGTATGGAGGTCGGACTACATCTGAACCCATGCAAATCGAATGAAAGTGGCTAGTGCATCCAATCTGCAAAATGATCAGGAACAGCATAGAGACAAAGAAAGTAAGATTTGTGGAGGAAGGAACAAAATAACTCATCATTTGACTGAATTGTTTGTGTTCCTGGCATCTCCACACTGACTGATTTCTTCATGTTCCCACTTGGGTGCTCCATGCTGACTGATTTATTTGCTTTCCCTTTTGGGCACTCCACGCCATACTTGCATTCGAACGGGTACTATTAATAAAAAACGCTGTTTAAAATGCGCATATAATACGGTGTTTAAAACAGTGTTTAAACACCAAGAATATTTTTTAAAAACACTAAAGAATATGCTTTCTTTTACTTAGGATTTGTAAAATCAGGGTTCGCAGGATCTGGAAGCGCTGAAGTAAGTCCGGGATGGGGGGAGGAAGGCAGCCATGCTGGAGCTGGGCTCATGTTCTGAAACTAAGGCCGACATCCGAGACAAGCCACAGCGTGAGTCTATGGAAGTGTAAGTATTGCTCGAATATTTACACCGGCATGGCTAAACGAGTTCGCGCTCACCTTGGGGGTGTGAAAGGAAGGAATGTAGAGATTTGTAGAGGACAAGTGCAACTGGAGGTGGTGAACAAGGCTTGGGCATCTTTTAATCGTGTGGAGCTCATGAAGAGCTCCATGATTGCAGCAAGTCCCCAAGAGAGACTTGCCTTAGCTAACGAGACTGAGGTCGGTGAAGTGAGTGGCGATGCCAGCTGCTGGGCAAGCGGTGGGGCTACTGGAGGGCTGGGCGAGGTGAGTAGCGGCAGCGTTCCACTTTCCGGGAGCAGCAGTCTTAAACAAAGTGCTGCACCGGCGCTGAATGGTGACATTCGAAAGATGATGAAGTCTGCAAAGGTTAAATGTCTGGATGATGCCATGGCCGAGTTTTTCTACATTGAAAATATCCCTTTCAACACCATTCGGAGGCCAAATCTGAGGAAGTTGCTTCAAGCTGCTATCGACTTCAACCCTAGAGCTCTTGCACAGATGATGGGATATGAGAAGCTGCGGAGTACACAGTTGAAGAAGCTTTATGATAGTGTCAATGCTCAACTTGATCCAATCCGTGAGGGGTGGAGAAGATATGAAGTTAGCATCGTCACTGATGGTTGGTCTGACAACCATAGCCAATCCTTGATCAACTTCATGGCCTCCAACATCCAGGGTTCGGTTTTCTTGAAGTCTGTAGATTCCAAGGGTAGGACAAAGACGGAAGAGTGGATTTGGGTCAAGCTAAAGAAAGTGATTCAAGAAGTTGGCGAAGAAAACATTGTTCAGGTGATCACTGATAATGCATCAAACTGTGTGCAGATGGGAGAACTCATGACAGCTAAGTATCCTCACATTCTCCACAGCCGGTGTGTGTGCCATGTCTTAGACCTTCTCTTCGAAGACATCGGGAGCTTGTTGTGGGTAAAACCATTGGTGAAAGGCTGCAATGAGGTGGTAACTTTTATCACCAAAAAACCTCGTGTTTTGGCTTTGTTTCGGAAGCTGAGCAATCGGGATCTCATCAAGCTGGCTAGCACAAGGTTCGCTTACATGTTTCTAGTGATGTCTCAGCTCCTGAATCTGACAACCTTGGAGGCATTGAAGGAGATGGTTGCGAGCTCTGAGTGGCGGTGATTGGACGTCACGAAGACCGCCAAAGCCCAGCACATTTGAACTCGGATATAAGAAGAGACTCCGAACTCTTTCTGGACTAGTGCCAGCACTTGTTGGTGCTGCTTGGACTGCTCCTCAAGGTCTTGAAGCTTGCGGACCGGGAGGGGGCAACTTCCGGTCTCATTTTCGAGGCTATGGACCGGATGAATGAGAAGCTTTCAGAGGCTATTGAGACTGGGATTTTAGCTGAGGAAGAGGTTGAGGAGATCAACAGGTTCATGATGGAGGATCATGGCAAGGGACGTCGGAAAGCAGCTCGTTGGTTCCAGATGCATTCGATCTTGTATGGAGCTGCTTTTATTCTGAACCCAGCTTTTCTTCATCTCCCTCTCGACCAGGAGGCTTAGGAAGATTTTGTGGAGTACCTAGAGTTGTATTGCAAAGGAGATCGAGGACTTCAACACAAGCTGCTGCATGAGTTTCAGAGTTTCCGTCAACAACTTGGCATATAAACTATTTGTTTGACAACTTTTTAGATTGATTCTCTTGTATAGATGGAGAACTGGAAACACCCAGTGAGTTGGTGGAGCAACTTTGGTGTAGGCACACTAGAACTTCAAAGGCTTGCTTTACGGATCTTGAGTCAGCCAGTTTGTGCTTCACCATACGAGCGAAACTGGAGCTCATGGAGCATGATCCAGACGAAGAGGAGGTCTCGACTGCTCTCCAAAAACTCGAAGAAGCTGGTTTTTGTGCACACAAATATGCGTGTCATACAGAAGATCGAGTTCAAGAGTTTGAGGCTTATCAAGCATGATCTTGATAACCTTGAGCTTGAGCCTCAGTGGCAAAGGATCCTTGCACTTCAGGAGGTTATTGAAGAACCTCTTCAACAACCTGATGACAACAGCGCTAGTGGTGATAATGTTCTAGATTTAGAGGATGGAGATTAGATTAAACCTATATTATATTATGTTAAACTTTGTTTAGTAACAGTAAATTATTTTTTAATTATATTAAAACTGAAAACCATTATACCCAATCGAAAAAAAGCTAAATAGGTATTAAACGTTCGATACCCGTATGAATCTGGTTGCGTTCGAATGTTCAGATGCAAGTATGCTCCACGCTGACTGATCCTGACTCAAGCACGGTGAGAAGAGTTACTTGGGCCGATCAATGCCATTTCTTGCTGCATTTTCTAAGAATCCCATTACAGCCTACTAGGAAGAATGATCTTGGATCATGATGTTCCAAGTTATTGTCTCAAGCTAGCAAGGCCTCAAAGATCTCCAGTGCCCCCTCCAGCTTTCTGCAACATCCAACCCTAATCAACAACACATTTTCAACAATAACACTTACTTAAATTCACGACTATGCACATTAAAGCATAATAATGCAAAACTAGAGATATTAATTATGCCATTAACACACCAATAAGAAATCTCAAGATTAAAACAATCATAACAAATGAACAACCCTAATTTTATCTTCCACTATTGTTATGATCCAGTGTAAAATGATAGAGATCTAGTCGTATTATACTATGCTACACCACTTCTTGAGGTTCCTCACCACCCAACCATATGAGCCCTAAGGTAGGTTTAGACCTTACCCTAACATGCCTTCAAATACCCTTAAGCCTCCTTTTAACCAATGTTGACCATGTGGTCAAAGTTGGTGCCTAACAATTCTTCGCCCCCTAACAAAGTCCTTGTCCCAAGGATGAGTTGTACTAGTGATCACCCTTTCTGGGGAGCCTTGCTCAAGCTCTTAGTCCATCTTCCACAGCCATATACATCAAGGAGGCATTAAGCTCGTTTGTAAGTAACCAAAGAGAACGACTTGAGAGATAATCCATGGGGTTCAAATATAGAGGGAAAGGGCCCATGAATAAGAGTGCACCCCCTTTTCCAATCGGTTAAGGATTTTGGGATATTTGGGGTTAAGCGTCCTTAGGTTTGAATAGTATTGGGCTAGGTGACCTCCCAGAAAGTCCAAATTCAAGAGCTTACATTTGGTATTAGAGAGGTTCCAAATCCGACTCTATTGGTTGGCTAGGGGAATCACACTGTCAGGAATCCCCCAATTCTTGCCACATTCCTGACTCTCGCCGGATTCCTGACCTGCAGACCACATTCCTGACTCTCGAGACACTTCTCTATTCCTGACTCTCGAGACACTTCCCTATTCCTGACTCTCGAGACACTTCCCGATTCCTGAGTCTCGAGCCACATTCCTGATGATGATGTGGCGCCTCCTCGACCTCAGCTGTATTTAGGCTGTCCTCGATCCAAGAGTGGTGGAGCTTCATCAACCTATAGTATATATAGGTTAGCCTTGTTCCATTTCTCCACAATCTGAATCAACACCAGTCTAAGGCCTCTTCTTTGTTTTCACTAGCTTTTTCTCTTTGTCTTTAGCATTTTCCAGTCTTGATCTTGTTGGGGGTCTTGACAGTTTGGGGAGTAGGAGTAGGAGCTGTCTGTTTGGACTCCCCAAATAAAAATCACTTTTCTTCCTTATCAAGCTCCTCACCACCTTTCATCAAAGCCACCACCAATTCCCGCAACTTCCGCATCCCATGTCTCCTTTCTTTCACCGGACAATTAGGACTCAAGGCTTTGGCGCTACTGGACTCGGGTGCAACTTCCTGCTTCATGGACACGGACTTTGCTGCCTGACATCACGTTCCTCTTTCTCCTACCATACGGGATCTGA